TGTGTTCCCAGTTGTAGATCATTCTAATGTCTACCTCATCATAGAATAATAGCTAATATTTCTTGAACATTTTTATGAGCCAGACTCTGTATTTTCCATAAAGTTGGAAAACAGCCATTAAGAAGTAGACTGTCCAGGTTGGAGGCATGGTTCAGTTGGTAGAGTGCCAGCCTATCAGCAAAGAATCAGGTACCAAGTTCAAGTCCTGGTCTTAGAACAAAAAAAGGAAGCAGCCTCTTTTTCTAGCCCATAATTATAGCAAGGAACTGAGGTACAGAGAAGATAAGTAGGCCAAAGTCATTGAGCTGTTGAGTGGAGGTTTCAATCCCAGGCAGCCTGCCTCTGAGTGAGGCCTCACTTGTGCATTGGTCAGCTACCTGTTAGCACTGGTTCTCCATATTTAGGGGCTTGCTCAAGCCTCCCTGCCTGGGGACTTTAGACAGGTCCTTGTAAGTGTGAAGCATTTGCCAGAGCCTGTGTTTATGAGACCCTGAGTCTTGGTGCCTGACGTGAAGCTGGGCCTTGTTTCAAATGAAACCTTATAAAAACTTAAGCCTAGACAGTAGCGCGCTCTCATCATGAAGATGACCAGTCTCCACGAATATCAGACCTTCCTTTTAATAGATTGAAGGATTAATCTAGGATTAATCTGAGCTTGTCAATCATTTTCACTTACGTACAACTTAAAAAGAAATGCCCAGAGTTTTAAAGTTTTGTTTTAAATCATAAATCTGAGGAGTTGTATAGGATGTAATTTGTCTATTGTATGTGTGCTTATTTTTAGTGACATTTTGGGGCTTCACATTTGATTTTGTTATGAGAACATGTATAACAAAGTCAATCAGTCATCAGTCAAATGAGATCTATTTTCTGTTAGGAAGAAAAATATGGTTTCATGTTTCAATTTATTATTATTTTCAGTGATAGCAGGATTTGAACTCATGGCCTTAAAGTTGCTAGGCCACTGCTGTCCCACTTGAGCCACACACACAGCCTTTTTTTGCCCTTGCTTTAAGTTACTTTAATTTTTGTTACTTTTTGTTCAGGTTGGCCATGGACTATTCCTCTACATATCTTGAATCGTAGTTGTGAGCTACCACAGCCTTTTGTTTATTGACATAGCAACTTGTTCCCTAGGCTGACCTCTGAATGTGATCCTCCTGATTTCTACCTCCCAAGTAGCTAGGACTGTAGGTATGTGCCCCTGGTGCCTGACATGTTGGAATTTAAATACGCATGTTCATAAGCATTCCTTGGACAATAATCTCACTGTGGAGTCTGATTCTCAGGTGGGGGCAGGGCAGGTAGATTGGCATTAGGTGAAAAGCTTTGTGCTGAATTTGACCCTGGATGATTATAATGCTACCTTCTGCTTCCTCAGGGTGTCTTTTAGGAATTTCCTTGGAAGTGATGATTTTCCAGACTTATTCCCTTGCTTGGTACCCCAGTAGCTTCATAAGGCAACACCCTACATTGTTTCAGCCTGCTTGAGGAGGGATAGGAGGAGAAGGAAGATTCCAGTGAAATAGCTCAGGCAGACCCCATCTGAAGAACAAAGCACACTAAAGATCACAGAGCTCAGAATCTGCTTCCTCTTGCTTTCAAAACAGCTTTGAGCTGTGTCTCAAGACTATAGGTTCTTATGGATCTTGCTCAAGTTTAAAATCCTGGAACTGTGATCTTTCATATTAATTGAATAGGCCAAATCCAACAAGACTTCCACCCTCTGAAGTGGTATTGTGTGCAAGTTAGGAGGTACACCTTGCATTATAAGCATAAGCTCTTAGCCAGGCCCCAGTGGCTCATGCCTATAATCCTAACTACTCAAGAAGATATCTGAGGATGGAAATTCAAAGCCTGAGCAGGAAAGTCTGTGGGGGCTCTTATCTCTAATTAACCAGCAAAAGCCAGATGTGGAGCTGTGGTTCAATGGCAGAAAATAGCCTTGAGTGCAAAAGCTAAGCGATAGTGTCCATGCCCTGAGTTAAAGCCCCAATACCAGGGTGGACAGGGAAGGAGGGAAGGAAAATAATTAGGTCTTGCAAACTCATCTTTCCTATTATGATGTTGCTCCCTGACAGTCTAGATTTTCTGGTGAGAGCCTCAGTCTTCAGAGAGGCTTTCCTAGTTCCAGTTTCCTTCCCTTTGGTCTCCAGTCCTCACTACATGTAGTCCTGGGGGACTGGAATTAGTGGAAACATGTAAATTACCTGTACATTGTGGAAATACAGCTACATGTTTGTGAATGAGGAATGACTTAAGACTTAACTGAAGCACAGTGTTATCATTCGGCAGGAATTTCAATCCTACAAAAATATTGTTGGTACCTATTGAATTTTCTGGTGTTCACTCATGGTGGTTTTCATGGGTACGTGTGACCACCAATTTGACGACTCAGTGGTTTAATGCAATTAAATGGGTTATAACGGAGACCAACCTATTAGTCATTAAAACATACCCTACCCCACTCACACATAAAAATGCTGAACAGTAAATTATATGATTCAATGTGCTTGGCTGAAACTGAGAGGCAAAACTGGGCAGATGATGGAACATTTGAATTAATTGCTTGGCCATTAGAAAAACCAAAGGAGGGAAAACACATTATTCTTGTTTTATTTCCATAACGTCATTTAAGCATAATTTTAGCAAAGTGATCCTGTTAAAAATCCTCTGAGGATGTCCACTTGTGGTTGGAAGAGGCCGTTGCAGCTTCTGGAGTCACATAGGGTCTAAGTGCCTGGCAGCTATGCAGAGTGGCAGCATCCAGTCCTCTTCACTGAGACCTCTAGGCATCCTTCGTGGCTCCTCCTGCCTCCCTTGTGGGGAATTTGCTGCCCTGCCCTGTCACTCTGTCTTCATTGCATGTTAACTTCCCTTCCCTTCTCTCTTCTGGTTTCATTTCTTTATCTTGCTAGTCTTGGGGCTTGAAATCAGGGCCTGGGCAATGTCCTGGAGCTTCTTTTGCTCAAGTCTGGCACTCTACCACTTGAACCACAGTGCCACTTCTGGCTTTTTCTGTTTATGTGGTACTGAGGAATCAAACTCAGGGCTTCAAGCATGATAGGCAAGCACTCTACCACTAGGCCACATTCCCAGCCTGCTGTTTTCTTTTTATGGTCCTTCTATCTTTTGCTTTTCTACCTTCTCCATCACCGGTAGTTTGCAAATCGTTATGAAAAAAAAATCAACCCAACATGTACTTGGAGAAGTCGTTAACCTGCTGGACTTGTAGAGTATTGGGTTTGCTTGCTTGATTTTGTTTGTTTTTAACAGAAGAGAACGTAAGTCTTCAGAAACCAAGAACTATAAAGGTGGCATTTTAACAGGACAGTAGGACAAAATTGTGTGGTCTTGAGTTACTCTGTCTAGTGAAGTACTTACTACTGAGCACATGTCTCATAGATGATAAATAAAAAAGTAAGAGGCACACCAGCCATTCTGTAATCTTGTAATCTCAGCACTAGAGGCTCTGGGCTTGTGAGTTCAAGACCAAGCTGGGCTACACAATTGTAGGAAGAGCAAACTCAAACTCTAAAGAGACAGAGGGAGAGACAGACAGATAGCAACAACCATGGTACAGAGTCAGCAACTTGGGATGACTTGAGAAATAAATATTTTACTCGCCACTATTATAACACTATTATTGAAAGCTGAAATTTCATGTCTGTGTTCCACTTTGTAAAACAGATGGTCTATTTTTACTCTTTGTACATAGTCTTTTGCTTTTGAGATAACGTTACAATTATGACCATATGCTATACCATAGTATATCATGATGTTTTATATTATCTCCATCAACTTTTTCTATGGTACCATTTATAAAATTGGTAATGACTTTTAAAATGGTTTTAATAAGATAACCCATTGGTGAAACATAGATACTGCTTTGTTAACCATTTCTTTGTTACCTTGATGGGAGAGTTACCAGGTTTTCACTATGAGCCAAGTAATATTCTAATATTTTTACATGTACCATTTTCAGCACACAGAGAATCAAAGGGTTATTTCCTTATGCTAGCATCCCAATAACAGACTTAATCTTCACAGGATATACAAATTTTGAAGTACAATTGCTTCCTATAAGGGTTAGTACCAATTTCTGTTGATGGGATTTGGACTGGATTCCTCACATGCAGGAAAGTCTTTGTGCACCTTTACCATAGTGACACATCCTAATACAGTGCATCTATTAGGGAAGAGCCAGTCCTGCCCTGTGCCTGGGTAGATTACAAGGCAAACCCTCCTGAATCTCATTATTTGTAACTAGTCATAAGTGCCTGGACCTGTATGAGGGTTTCAGATGAAGATTGATTTCCTGGTACTCTGAGTGATGACAGCTGCACACAAATAGGTGAAGGGTATCTATTTTGCAAACAGGAAGAGAAGCTCAGATTTTATAAATGTGAAATGTTTCTCTAACCAAGCAAATGCTATTTTCTATAGAGCTTTGCTAGAATGAATCCTAATTGTGCCATCACAGTGGTAAGGAAAAACCATTCGTTTCAGTGAAAATGTTTTGGATTCTTAATTTATATTAGTGATTAATTTTAATAAATATTTTAAAAGATGGCAACTGTGGCCATTTTCTTCAATACTTTTCTTATAACTCTTTCTGCCTAATGTCTTTAGATGGGAAAACTTCTTTAAGAAGACATGATCAATGCACAGTGGTCAGTAACTCTCTATCAGTTAGAATAATCACTTGCAGTAGTAGCATTGTCAGAATTATCTTTCTTTTTTATTTAATTTTTTCATTGTGAAAATACCATACAGAGCGGTTACAATTACGTGGGCAAGATAATGAGTACATTTCTTATCAAGCATTGTTGCCTCCTCCTTTGTTTCCCCTTCCAAACCCTTCCCATCTCCCCCCACCCTGGTGACCCTCCCCCCCTTCTTGCAAAAATTAAAGCAGTTTTTTTCAATCTTATTATTCAGTCTTACTGATTTGTACTATTTCTGTTTTGTCTCTAATTGAAACCTCTATACTTTTTTAGATACAGCAGCCTCAGCAACAACTCTTTTCCCTCCTCAAGACCCTCATCTGGACTGAGTGTGTCCCCCACAACCACATCATCTCTCTTATCTCCACAGGAGGCCAGGACAGATAGGTGAGTTCTGGGGTATGGAAATAACTCAAGTAAGGTGACTCTGTTTGGAAAGTGTAGCTAAAGAAAAAGTCTATTATAGGTGTAGATGTTGTCCTATCTACCTACATTTGTTGGAAAATATCACAATTTCTTCTAAAATATTTGAGTGTGAATGTTTTGAGTCATCCCTTAAAATGCTTCTTAGTGGTCTGTGAGTTCTACAATTTGTCTTAAAAACCTCAGTTTTCACCTTTGAACACCTAAGTCTATGTTAACCAGAAGGTAGTGGCCCATCAAGGTGCTATGTAATTAATCCAGGACCTACCAGAAGAGAAAAGAATTCTATGGGTACATGGAAGGAATTTAACTTGGCAAAAGTATTAGACCACCAGAAATTCACTGATTACTACTTCTAGAAGCCAGTGATTGCACAAGGATGTGTTTACAAGAGTAAGGTAAGAACTGTAATTTTAGAACAATTAAAAACAGTTACCCTTACATGGCAAGAGTGTTGAATTAGAGGAGATTGTTTGGGGTTCCAACTCTCTCACTTGGAAGTTATTTACTCCCTGAGGGAAAATTCCAGTTTCACCAACCTTTCGTAGAGGGTCATTCTTGTGAACAAATAAAATTGTTCAGATGAAGGCCACTGTATACACTGGAGAGCGGTGTGGAGGCAATGGCTGGAGTAGCTCCTGATTCACAAGGAATCTAGATGTGAGCCACTTACAGGGATCACTTGCCTTGAGTCCCAAATTAAAAAAAAAAAACTGGCCTGTGTTCCATATCCAGATCTTCTTTTGTGTATTCTCAAGTGAGTTTTGCTGATCACTGCTAGTTTGTCCAGGTTACAGAAGAGCCAGAACCTTACAAACCCTGGGAAGGAGGCTGTCCAGTATGGCTTGCTGAACCACATGCATTATTAGTGTCTCTAAGGTAGTGTATAAATCAAGCAACTAACTCTGAACTTCTGCAGGACAGTGAGCCCCCGAAATGGAAGCACTCAGGCAAGTTAGGTCTTAGCAATAAGGAAACCAGTTGACTATCTTGAGGATTCCCTTACTTGACTCTGTCCATTAGCCTTGGCTACGTAAAGAGATTAGATATAGTTCTCTGTAGTGTTGCACAAGAAAGACACTATAAGAATGACACTTGTTATACATGAGATTTGGGAGGAAGATTGGAGTCTGACTGATATTGCATGTATCACATCTGCCAAACTATCATTTCTTCTGAGCTTAAAACCAGGCTCCATTCATTTTTGCATATACTACAGTAACTGGGGCCTGACCACAGTAGAACTGTGCTGAAAGATCCAGTGAAATAGTCACTTGCTAGATGGGAATAGTTTGGAGGACCATGAAGTGAGGAAGTTACAAGGACAGGAGATTCAGGTGCTCTCCATGTTTACTGAGGCTCTAGGCTTTGGGTATCTTCCTCCCATGTCCTAAAGTGGAAGTCCTAATCTCTACTTACCTCAAAACCCCTGGAAACCCAGGCTCTTAGAAGACACTGCTCATACTTCTTTCCATTCTTAGACTGGCTGAAATCTCCCTGCTGGTAGTGGTGGTGATGGTATTTACCTGAAAGGGTGAGACTAAATAGCAGAATAACAATCTAAACAAAAGTTATACTTTATCCTGAGACCATGGGATTGGTTATACGTTGAGATCAGGAGGGGGTGAACCGCTCTTCCCTGTCAACAGCAGAGATTGAGCCAGTGGGTTGAAACTGTAGAAACAGAAGTTGTCTGAGAGCTTCTAGACTTGACTGGAGAATGGGACTGAGGGAATCAGAGAGAATGAGGTTTCAGGTCTTTGTGGATGTTAGAGACAGGAACTAAGATATGCTGGAAACAAACTATAGGTAGAGAAGTTGATCCAGATGCATGCAAGGTCCCAGAAGCCTGTGTGAAACCTGGGAGATGTTCTATTGGTGCAGGGCAGTGTGAGCATTCCTTGAATTGAAGCACTGGAGTTACATTACTCTGAGAACCTGCACACTGAGACCCAGTTAAAGGGCAGCCAATTTTCTGGACGTTTGTTCTTTTTTCTAGATTACTATTATCATAGGAATTTACTTATCTTTGCATCTGTAATCTGCTGGTCAGTAGTTTCAAAGTGTTTATTACTTCCTTTACCTTTGCCTGTGTTTTTAACCATCATTGCTTACAGGCTTTGAAAACCCATGTGGTGAATCACTAGAAATACTACATGTATGACATTAGTCCCAGGAAGCCAGTGGGCCTGCTGACTACCACCTCTTCCTGTCACCTTGTTAATGTGTTTTATAAATCAGTGGGCTCCTCAATTCCAAGTCACTTTTTGCAACATTGCCCAAGAATGTCAGTTGAGTTCATGATAATACATACTTTTATGCGATTTTTACTTTTTCATTTTTAACCAGAGTTCATTAGATGTTATTCACAATATAGCTCAACATATGTAAGTGTTTTTTTTTTACCTGTTAAGATGTATGGCTATCCAAGCATGGTAGTATATGACTGTAATCCCAGTTACTTAACTGGTGGCTTGTTAGTGCCAGTCTAGTTGGAGAAATGTTAGTGAGACTATGACTCAAAAAACAAATACAAATGAAAAAGGATGATTACTGTGGCTCTAGATGGAGGGCACTTGCCTAGCATGCATGAGGTCCTGGGTTCAAGCCCTACTAACCCAAATGCACGAGGCAATTTAGGACTATGTGAGTAAGATGTATTGTTGAGATGTTTTATATGAACATATATTACAAAGACAGGAAAGGAAAAGTCTTAGGAAAGATATGAAACAATTGTCAATTATATTGCTTTTTGGCAAAGAAAACCCATATTTTCTGTCATCATACTCCTACCTAGTAAGTAGCGTGCCACAACCCCATGTACCAGTAAACCTCTAGACCTCCACTGCCGTAATTTCTAAACAAGAGTCACTTCTCTGAAGTCTGGGAAAATACAGCCAGTGAAAACACCCTCCAGGCCCCTTAGACCACTTTGGAAAGGCAACTGGTCATCATGAGCTTACAGTTTTTCATTTTCTCCCAAGCATGTTAAAATGTTGGATGTTAATAAAACTTGGAAAGATAAATTGAGAGGAAGTGTTGAAGACAAAAAAAACTATAAAAAATTAAGTTAAGACAAGGATATTAAAATGGATCCATCTCCAGTTATGTTACAGCTTCATTTAAAGGGCCCTATTTTAGAAGCAGAATGTAACATTAACTTTCATGAAATTGGAGCTTAAATCGTGCCAAAACAAAACAAGAAAACCAAAACTATTTACAAAGACCCTCGGGGATACAAAATGCAACTGTTTCATAAAAGCAGAGACTTGAAAAAAAAATGCTTCAATTTTGAAAATGTACTTTCTGAGCAGAGAAGTCCTAAATATTTTCTTTTAGAAAGACAACAAAATTACAGGAATATTTGAGCCATTTGTTTCAAGTATTGAAATGAAACAAATAAATAAGCAAACAATAACCACACCATAAGAGAGACTTTGGCTTTGAGTCTTGTGAAAGGCAAAGCAAATTCTCTCCCCAAACCTACTGTGAAGTCTCCATCTTGTGGGCCTTGTCAGAAATGGCTGCTGGAGGCTTTGGTGGTGGATATGGATATGTGAGAAAACAGTGGGGCCAAGGGCTGTGATGGTGCCTTAAGGCAGTCAGTCAGGGACTAGGGAGTCCTCCGAGAAAGGAGCTTGTCCTGAACTGCTCAGTTGGGAGGACATGGAGGGTCCTTGGGTTCAGACTTTAGGGAGGACCTCTTTGTAGACATGATAAGCTAACATCTGCAGGACTGCTGTTATCTCCTACCATTACTTCTCATAAAATACACTGACCTGCCTATTTAATATATTAACGTTCAGAGACCTTGGAAGACATTGAAAATGACCTGGCCCTCAGAATTTATCCCAGCAAGGGTTTTCCTTCCTCTGAAAATAGGATAAGCCCAGTAATGATATTACCCCTGGGGAGCAGTAATGGATAATAAGAGACATGATAAAGGATGCTACTTTTTGTAGTGTGTGTGGTCAGAGCATTCCACATGAAATTAAAAAAAAAAGCCTAACGGGTTTTTACATATGAAACACCTTGTTAATTGTAGGCATGTTGGGTTATAGACTTCTTATTCATCTTGTGTGACTGTAACTTCATACCCATGGAATGATAATTCCTCATCTCTTCCTACCTCTGATTCCCTGATAACCACTGTTTTACTGTCTACTTCTGTGTCTCTGACATTTTACATGCCTCCTATCACTGGAATCATTTATTTCACTTAGCATAATATCCATGCTTATTATTACAAATGATAATGTCTCCCTTTTTAAAATTTTATTTTATTGTAAAGATGCTGTACAGAGGGGTTACAGTTACATGAGTAAAGCAATGAGCACATTTCTTGTCGAGCATTGTTACTCCTTCCCTTGTTGTTCTCCTACTATCCCTTAACCTCCCCCACCTCCCTCACTCCTCCCCACCTTTGAAGTTGTAAAGTTCATTTCCAACATACTGTCTTGTGTGTATCATTGTTGCAATGGGTCACCCTATGTCCTTGTTTCAGCATTTTGTTATTCCCCTTTCCCTCTCCAAATTAGACAAATGTACATACAAGATGCAGGGTACCAAAATCAAGTACAGTGACAACAGGGGATATATCACAGGGGGAAGCACATACAAAAGAAACAAAAGAATTACATTGTATGTTTAAAACAGGATATTTTCCTTTTTTAAAAAGGCTAAATAGTATTTCATTGTCTGCTTATGCTATACTTATACACTATATGATGATTTAGGTTGTATCTTGAGTTTTGTAAATAATGCTAAAATGAACACAGTATACAGATCTCTCTAAGATCTTGATTTCAATTCGTTTTGAACACTCAGAAGTGGGATTTACTGAATTATACAAAAAGAGATTCAGAGCTGGGATGTAGCTCAGTGGCAAAACGCTTGCCTAGCAAGTGCAACATCCTGGGTTCGATCCCCAGTACCAAAAAAGAAAAAAAAGCCAAAAAAATACA